ATTCTTGGTTGTTGCATAAAGTCTGGAAGAGAGACTTCCATCAAGGATTATAAAGTGGGGGAAATGATTCCATGTCCTTTTTGCTTCATTTTAAGGCCTGGTACCTGGACCATCAGAACAAATGTGTGAGAACCACTCATCAGAACTACTGTACACACAGATCACAGTCACTCACATGCACGTGTGCAGATACAGAGACACACAAGCACTTGCACACAGTGAAACTGCAGACTTTCCAGCGAGTAAACTGTGCTTCTAGTAACAAACCACAGTCTGCCTCTGGGACTTGTGACCAAGCTTTGCCCTGAAAGAGAAGGGCTCAAAGGGAAGTGCTCTTGCGCCAGCCGGCAGCCTGGCCTCCAGGCAGTTTTCGGCAAGCCCTGACAGGATGCCAGGCGGGCAGGCAGGCGGGCAGGAAGAGACGCTTCTCCAAACCTCTCCCCGCTGTAATTTACTAAATCCATCTGGGGCTCCTTTGAGCCATTTTCTGGAAATGCCACATTTCAAGGGTCTCCCTGTTAGAAAAGGTCAGAGAGTTCACGTAGGCCTTTCATGTTAAAGGAACTTGAAAGAAAAGGAAAGGAAATGTATATTTTCAGCCTTAGCTGTGATTAAGTGAGCTCAGGCCATGAGAACATTCAGATGATTTACATGACGTTACATGAAGAGCCAATTAGCCTAACAACTTCCGAAAAATATCTAGCTCAAGAGCATCCATTATTAGAGCACTTGGAATGTACCAGGGCTTGTGCTAAACTCTTTGCTAAGATACAATGATTCATCTCAACCACACTCCAACAGTGCAAAGCAGGTTTGGATATGATGTCCATTTCACTCACAAGGAAGGTGAGGCATTGAGAGTGTCAGTGATTTGCCTGGGAACCCCCAGCTAGATGGCAGGGCATGGTGGTAACTCAGGTTGGTCTAAATTCTAAGCCCGAGCTCTGTTGCATCAAACCTCAATCCTCAAGAGTCCAGACTTTGTCTTTCAGATGCATCCAGCACGTTCATCAGGCTCATTTGCATAAAGATGAAGACTTTTGAAAGTACTCTAACTCTGGGCCAGATGAGACTAGAAGCCTCTGGGGATTCTCTACAGTTGGCCCTGGTTCCAAAGCTTCCTGGTCACTTTTGGGGGGCATCCACACCAGATCCCACTCACCATCTCATGTAGGAACTTCAGGGCATCCCTGGTGGCTTAGTGGTAAGGAGTTGTGCGGCCAACCTGAAGGCATGTTTGAATCCACCAGCTGCTCCTCAGGAGGAAGATGGACAATCTCCTTCTGTGTGATTTACCACCTCTGAAAACCTGCTGGAGAGTCAGCTATGGGTCGATTCTGATTAGACAGCACATAACATCAAATCTGGTCTCTGTAAGGAGCCCTAGTAGCATACTTGGTCAGTATTCAGCTACTAACTCAAAGGTTTGAGCCCACCAGCTGTTCCATACAAGAAAGATGTGGCTGAATCCATCCATCTATCTTCCATAAAGATTGCAAGCCTTATGGGCTAGTTTTGCTCTATCCTATAGGGGCACTATGAGTTGTAATTAACTCAATGGCAACAGATTTTGACGTTCTGGTGGCAAAATCCATCTCAAGTTTTGCTGCTAACCCAAAGGCCAAGAGTTTCTTACAGTTTGAATTCATACCAGCTCTTAGGAAGAAAGATGAGCAGTCTCCTCACTATATGATTTACAGCTCTAGAAACCCAGTAGAGAGATGCTGAATCCAAATCAGATCAACAGCAGTGAGTCTGATTTTGAGTTTGGAGCATCAAGTCTGACTTACTATATAGGGCATGCAACGAAGGATGAGTCTGGGGGGAGAGGGTATAAAGTGAGCCTCTGGGCCCTTTCAACCAGCAAAGGGAGATTCCAGGGAATCCCATCCAGGGATATTCCTCAATTCTCCTGCCAGCTCTCCTGACCAACCCCAAAAGCTAAGGCTTTGTTAGTGACAGTTAATTCAATCAGCATTTGTCTGTTAAAACCACAAAGCAAAATAAAGACTCACCCTGGAATTTCAGGAGTCATAATGGAACACTAGAACAGGGTGGTTAGGATGTGAATTCAGGAGTCAAAGTGCCTAGATTTGGAATTCTGACTTGCTTCCAAGCGGTGCAACTTTGAGTGACATAATCAACCCCTCTGAGCTTCAGCTTTCTAACTTGTGAAATGGGGATAATCATCCCTATATCACAGGGATGATGCAATGATTTAATGAGATAATGTGTGTGACGTTCTTGATGTGAAGCTTGCCACACAGTAATCACTCAGTAAGATGCAATCATTGTGCAGATGATGATGATGACAATAATGAGCAGACCAACTGTGGCCAGGCAAGAGGTTTCTGTGCAGCTGTACCCACCTTCAGGGACAAGTTCAAGCTCTTATTCATAGTATGTCTAAGCCTACCAAGTCTTCCAGTCTTAACTGAAGTCGGCCTCCTCCAGGAAGCCAGCCTGACTATTCCAATCTACACTATTATCAGACCTGAGCTCCTTTTGAGATATATATGAGTTTAGCACTAAACTTTGCACTAATGGCATTTTAAGTAGTCAAGGACTCCTGGGGGACAGAACTCCTCTCTCCTTCCTCCTCACAGTCTGAGCTCTTGGATAGGAACACAGAGGGTTTACCTTGATCAGGCTCTTTGGCTGGGAATGTCCCTGGACAAGCCTGTGCCTCCCCCCATTTCATCTCCTCATATTCCTCCTTTCCCCCACTTATCCTTCACTGGTTCCATCTAACAGGGCAAGGAGTTAGATCTTTGAACCCATAGAATAGTATAGAACTTAGAATTTCAAACCCTCTGAAATGTCCAAAGAAACGTGGGGGAGGATGAATAAAGTGGCCAATTTTTCTTTTGCCAAATAAGGACATTTTAAAAATCTATTCTCATCATCTTAAAAGAGCTGTTCTCACACCAATAAAACAGAAAGGCCATAATTTCTGATTAAAAGCTAATACTTAAGAAGGTAAGTTTCAAAACTCAAATACATTGATGTCAAGTGAGAGCCAACTCAAAGCAGACCTAGTGTGTTTTCTGAGGTTCTGACCTGCACAGGAGAAGACTGCCCATCTTTCTCCCATGGAGCAGCTGGCAGATTCAAACTGCCTGCCTTTAGGTTGGCAGTATAACTCCTTATCCACTAGACCACCAGAGCTCTAGGTAAGTTTGCTGTTGTTGTTGTTGTTAAGTGCCATCTAGTTGTAGGTGACTCATAGCAACCCTATGAACGAAAGTCCTCAACATTTGTGTGACTTTCATCCTTTCTCCAGGTTCATAGGGTTTCCAGAGGCAAGCTATTACGGAAGTGGATGCCACTCCTGCTTCCAAAGGTAAGTTTAGCCTTACCGATAAACAAGCAAGCTTACTGTCATCCTCACTTAGCCTCCTATCTCTGAGCTGGAGAAAACTTGGATTCCACTGCCTTGTGTCCACTTCGGTTTCACAGGTCTGGGAACTTCTGTTCTGAAGGGAGAGCAAAACCTTTTAATTTGGATTAACTGGCTCCGTCCTTCCTGTTCCGTTTTTCCAGAGAAACTTCATCCCCAAATCAGACCCTGAAACCACAGGTGTTAAAGGAAGGGGAAGCAGCAGAGGGGATAGGGCAGACCTCTCACTGCTCTGTGCAGAACCCGCTGGTGGATTCAAAAGCTGTCTGAGGGCCTCCTTCTTAGCTCTTTACTCCATCTTAACTCTACCAGAAGAAAGGTACCCAAGCTGAGGAGACGGAATGAGACAGAACAGCAAGTCTACAACAAAGGTAAAGAGGCAGCGGATACTCAACAGGTCCTCCCATCTCCATCACCAAGCTGATACTTATTGCCCTGGGCCAGCGGGCAGGGGAAAGTGGCCCAGGCACCTTGCTGAGCAGGCTCATCCGTAGGTGGGCCTGGACCCTGGAGGGGCGGCAGCACGGCCCTCTTCCGGCCAAGCTTTGCACAGCAGCCAGGGGTCTTCGCGGGGCTCTGTAGAGGAGAGCCGTCTAACTTGCAAACCAACCAGCCCCGCATTCTCCATACCCTCTGTTCTTGGGAAAAGCAGGAGCGCCTACATGGAAACTAGCACAGAAACCTGCTGTGAAATTGCGCCTTTACTGAACTGAGACCCCAAAGGATCTGTGTCTTTTGTAAACGCAGTGTTTGGACGAGACCCCGTGGACCTGCCTGCATCCTGGAGCTTTGGAAGGCCGGCCATGTTCCCATGCTCGGCAGGCTGGAGACCCTTCAAGCTAGATTTCACCCCAGGAGCCTCCATGAATTGGGAATGCAATCTCCCTGAGCTGCAGCACACGATCAACTCCTGGTCCGAGTCCCGCGGCCCACGTGGCTGCCGGAAGTCTGGACTCCTAGCGCTACTAGTTCTTGGCGTGGAATCGAGCTGAGCAGTGGACAGGCAGTTTAGGAGAGGGAAGAAGGTCTAGCCCACACAGATGTATGATGTTATGAGCCTTGTATACAAAACTAGGAGGATTTATGATCGCGCAAACCCAGGCAGTTCCAAGGGGGGGGGGGGTGCAGGATGAGAGAATAGGGCTTTGGAGGAGTCTAACCCTGCCTACTAGAGTCTCACGGACTCTCCTGTCTAGGAAGCTCCAGTTCCAAGAACGCGAGCACAGGCACAGGTCCCTCGACTATTTGGATTGCAAGCCACGCCCAAGCCCCTAAAGACTTGAGACCAGGCTTTCTGAAGGTAGGGGATATACAGGGGCGCAGGGCGCAGGACAGGAATCACTGGTAGATGAGGAAGTGGAGTCAGCATTCTCCTTTAGAGTCTCCACGGTAAAGTTCTGCAGTCTCTTCCAAAGTCTTGCTGAGGTTAAACTCGTGGGGAAAGCGAGCCCTTTAAGACTATGCCCATTGGGCAAGTCTTGGCCTCTCCGGGGAGAGGGACAGGGCGGGGCATTCTGGCCCCGCCCCTGGCAGGGTCCGCCCCCGGAGTCCCCGCCCCGCCCCCCGCTTCGCCGGCGGCGCCTTTGATGTTCGACCCGCCAGCTCCCGGAGCCGCACAGCCCCGCGCCCGCGCCAGCGCCAGCGCCCGCAGCCCAGCTCGCGGTCCACACGTCGCGATTCGGGCTCGGAGCTCCGGACTCCAAGTTCGCCGCCTCCCGGGCCGGCTCCGCGCCGCGCACTCTCCGCGCCCCGCGCCCGGCGCCCGGGCGGGCGGAGCGCAGCATGCCGCAGCTGGACTCGGGCGGGGGCAGCGCGGGCGGCGGCGACGACCTCGGCGCGCCGGACGAGCTGCTGGCCTTCCAAGACGAGGGCGAGGAACAGGACAAGAGCCGCGACAGCGCCGCGGGCCCCGAGCGCGACCTGGCCGAACTCAAGTCGTCGCTCGTTAATGAATCCGAGGGTGCGGCTGGCGGCGCGGTGGTCGCGGGGGCCGAGGCCGAGGTCCGGGCGGAGGTGAGCGCCGGCCGTGCCCATGCCCTGCTCCTCGCCCGCGGCGCCTGGCCCGCGCTGACCCGCCCCCTCCCTCCTGTGGTCTCGGGGTCCTCATCTCTCAGGACCCCTCCTGTCCCTGGGCCCTGTCCCCGGGAGTCCCCTTTCCTTCCCACTCACGGCCCCTCTGCCTCTCCCTGCAGGCGCTTGGGCGGGAACACACTTCGCAGAGACTTTTCTCGGACAAACTTCCAGAGTCCCTGGAAGATGGTGAGTTTCTGCAAAGACAAGCCTCCTTTCCTCCCGCTGAGGCTTGGCTCCCCTGAGTGGAGGGAGCCGAGGGGGTGTCTTGTCTCCTACCCCACCCCTGTAGCCCAAGGAGGCGGTAAAAACCTAGGTGTGGGGGGCGGGTTTCCCAGCCGCAGGCAAGCTCGAGTCACTTCCGGTGCCCTGACCTTTATAGGAGTAAACAGACCCCCGCCATTGCCGCCTCCCCTCCTGCCCAGGTGACTGGTTAATCCCCTGTCCTGCGGAGAAGGCTTTGGGCCGAGGGTCATGGTGGGTGGGTGCGAGGGGGTCAGGTAAAGGCCACTGAAGGGAGCCTTGGACTCCATGTTCTCAAACCTTGGACACCCTCAGCCCATTCTTTCTCAAGTCTCATACTTGAAGAGGAGACCCCTTGGCAATTTTCAGTGTTTCTCGAGCAGATAGCCTCCAGCTCCCGCTAACCCAGCTGTGGTTTTTCCAGGCCTGAAGGCCCCTGAGTGCGCTAGCGGCATGTACAAAGAGACAGTCTACTCAGCCTTCAATCTGCTTATGCACTACCCACCCCCCTCCGGAGCAGGACAGCACCCCCAGCAGCAGCCCCCGCTGGTAAGTGGCCCCAGTAGCCAGTGTCCACCTTGTCCCTTACTTTCTCCTTGTCTAGGTATATGAGGTGTGGACAAGACATCTGCCCAGATTCGTGAGAATTTTGAATTGGCCCATTTTGACAAACACTCCCAGAGGGGTTTGAACCAAAAGGAGAGCTTTGCTACTCCGGGACATTCCCCTGCTCTTTTATCTATTGGCTTTTGTTTCCTCAACTTGTTCACAAGCTGGTGTAGGACTTGTCTTGGTTCTGGGTGATGCTGAGGTGGGATCTTCTTGAGTAAAGGCAGAGAGAGAACTTTCCCTGTGAGGGTGATGTGGGCTTAATGTGGTGGGAGCTCAGAGCTCTCCAGTTAACCTCCCCCCCCCACAAGGCCCTTAACATGGGTGCTGTGGAGGAATGAGCAGAAAAATGAATCTAGTTCTGATCTCCTGGATGGTGAAGGAGAAAAATGCTCACTTCTGCTGCTTGTCTTTAGTGACGTGAGTGTGCTCGTGCTGGAGAAGGACTTGAACATGTTATGGGATATTGCATTGCTGCTTCGAATCGGTGGTATCAATGAGGGCCCTAGTTAATGAATTTGTGAATTAAATATTTCTAAGTATTCAGGATCCTTTCAAACTATTTCTACCTAATAATGCAGATGATCCAGAGTATATAGAGCTGTTCGAAGTGTTTCGGAGAAGTAACAGAGCATTGGAAAAAAACCCCAGTCAAATTAGTGATTTAAACCATCCTCTCTTGGCCTGAAATGGAGAATGAGAGTAGAACTCCCTAGACTCCATAAAAGATTTGGGTGTTCTAGTGGTATAGTGTTTGTTGGGCACAGATGTGAGACCAGCGCAGGCAGGCAGGCTGGCTGGTGCTTTGAATGGCTAATAGTAGTAATCACTGAAAGGGAAGAGAATGGCCCTGCCAGGATATTTCAGAGCAGGATTGGGGAGAGTTGTCTGACAGATATGTGATGCCAGAGCAGGCAGGAGGTGGGGAGACAGACTCAAGCTTCTCTCCAAAAGTCCAGGATGGCAAACTGCTGACCCTAGAATGAACACTTTACTCTGTAGCCCCCCCCCCCAATATCCTTGTCTATAAAATAAGCATGTTGGTCTTAGTGATCTGTATCTTTATGCTGTAGGGTGGTTCAGCATATTGAGGTGGTTCATTTCTTTGTAAGAATGCTGACCTTGCTTTCTGATGTGGTGGCTCTCCCCAGAGACCCTCCACCCTGCAGGAGGGGATACTTAACAAAGGTGTTTCTCACCCTGGTATTGCAAGGTATAAACCCTCCAGATCATATTTCAGGCCGTATTGACATAACCTGCTGCTTCCAAATAAGTGACATACAACTTGCTTGGACAGGGACTTGAGTCACCGTAACAACCACACAACCACAACTAGACAAAATACCTAGATCCAAGAACATTACAGTAGGGTAGGCCCCCTCCAGCTTCTCTCAACCACATAGCCTTGCAAAGGTAGGCAGCCTTTCGGAGTTCGTTGACTGATGTGGCTGAGCCGTGGAAGAGTGTCCAGGGCGGGACCATTTAGTGTCCTTGGGTCAGTCTAGTCAGAATAGGAGGGTGGTAAGCTCCTTCAGTCTGAATCAAGGGGCAAGAGGCACACCCTTCCATTCCCATCTGGTCTTTGATTTTTTTCCTCCCCAACTTTGGTGTCTTTCAGACTATGTTGTCGTGAGTACTGTTGAGTCGGAAACAACCCATATAGCTAACCCTCCAGTAGTTTTTCAGACGCAGTAAATCGCACAAATTGCCCCTCTTCCTCTTGTGGAGCAGCTGGTGGATATTTGAACCACATACCTTTGGGTCAGCAGTATAATTCCTTACCTCTAAGCCACAAAAACTCCCTTTTCAGACTATAAGAGATTTGTTCTGTATGTCAGGATCTCTCTTTTAGGAGCAAACTCCTTTGTCCTTCTCCTCACCCAACTCACCCTCACTGTCTGCCTTTCGGGAACATGGTAGAAGGACAGACCTTGGCACTGGCCTTTATGTTCTGGTCTCAGCTGTTCTGTGACTGGGTTGGGGGGAGGGGGAATGGACTAAGGAAAGAGCCTAAGTGGTGATGGAACTGAATGCTGGTGGTGGTGAAAGAGTTCTTTTAAAAATCTGATAGTTAAAATACCATGTAAGGGTCAAGCTTAACTTACTGCTGTCACATCAGAACCAGTTCATAGGCTGACCGTCCACTGAGTTTCCAAGGCTATAAGTTTAAGTTGCATGAGTGGAGATTGCCCATCTTTCTCCATCAGAGCTGCTGGTGGATTTCAACCTCCAGACAGGCGTGACCTTTCTGGTTAGCACAACTTCCTACGGACTAGACCGCCTCAGCTCCCGTAAGTGTAAAAGTAGTTGTATTACTTAAACAACTGTGTGGAGTTTTACAAGAGAAATGAGTTTTAGAAAACAGAATAGATGGACTCTGTGTTTTGGGAGCACATTTGAAACTTGATTCACAATTTATGTGTCTGAAACTGTAAAATATCCTCTAAGAGCATGTCCTAGGCCCTTCTTGGGGCCCAAGGGGAATCAGCCTTTGGAGGTTTCTTCAGCTATGCCTTTCTCAGCCCATCTTGGGGGGACACAGATGTTGCCGAGCCCCTAGTTATAGGTCTTAGAACTGAGTGCCCATTGTCTTCTATCCAGCCTTCTCCATTGGGAGCTAACTGGTCAGCAGCTCCGCTGAGGATGTCCTAGTCAGCTGTTTGACTCCCTAGAGGAATGGGAAAGACCAGCGCATCCTGCTCATGTGTAGGTGGCTGCCTGTGTACTTACCATGTTGAATACCTACATGTAAATCTTACCAACAGCAGAGTAACTACCTCACAGACAACTGCCTTCACACAGGGATTTCATTTTTTGCCTCCCCCAGAAGTGTTGCTTGGTTTTTTTACTTACCTTCTTTTAAATGCTATTTTGGGAATAGGGAAACCAGGTTTATTTCATGACTGATCTTTGTCAGGCATCCATGGTAGGCCGGCAGACAGTGACTGGCCTGGGCTAGGAGCTTCCATGGTCCAGAGAATCGGGGAGTTGTGCTGCTAACACACAAAAGCAGCACCTTTTTGGTGGTTCAAATCCACCAGCGATTCTAGGAAGAAAGATGGACAGTCTCCTCCTATATGATTTACAGCCTCCAAAAACCCATCGGAGGATCAGGAGTGAGTCGGTTCCGACTCAACGGCAGTGAGTAAGTGGCCATTGTTTGCTTTTGTTCTGCTTTGGAAGGTGACTTAAAGTGGGAGCAGGGAGTTGGTCCTCATCTGGGAGTTTGTAGGACTCTGAGATTGATAAGGCATCATTCCTGATTATTCTTTTCATTCTGGTACACATACTGATGTCAAAAAGCATATGAGGCAAAGTTGCTCTTGTGTTCCCTTGTCCAGTCCCCTCTTCAGTCTGTGGCCTGGAAGAATGCTGAGCCTCCCCCATTTGTGTGAAATGGCCAGAACCGGCATATCCAGAGACAGAAAGCTGATTGCTGTTTGCTAGGGTGTGGAAAAATGGGGAGTAACTGCTAATGGGTACAGGGTTTCTTGTTGGAGTGATAATTTTCCAGAATTAGACAGTGGTGTGAATGCATGACCTTGTGAATATACTAAAACCCACTAACCCACTGAATTGTGCACTGTAAAATGGTGGCTTTTAGAGTACGTGAATTCTGTTTCAATGAAAAAGAAAATGCTAAGCCCTGTGGCTCTTGGAGGAGTTTGGAACTGTGTTGGCCTTGATTGCCAGAACCATCCTGGTGCCTGGGGATTTCACAAGCCAGAGGTCAGACAATAGCTCAAGTATGGAGGAACCACCTTGAGGCAATGGACTTGTGCTTGGCCTCCTGGTTGTGTCCTGCATTCCAGCATTTGAGGTCCCCGTGAGGGCTGTGAGAATAAGCGCCAGGGAGCAAGAGGTGAGAGTATGAGCAAGCAAGGCTTGGGCAGAGGAAGGAAGTGCTGCTGACGTCTGGCCAACCTGGTGAGGAGCTTTGCAGAGATGCATGAGTCTAGGAGCAGCAACCAGCCCTGGCAAGGGGAAACCCTGTTAGGAGTGACCCTGGCCCAGTGTTGGATACAAGACAGACCAGGCCAGCGGGTGCTTCTGGGAGTGTCCTTCTAAGAGGATAAAACGGTGGAATAGAGCCTAACCGTTCCCTGGGAGGGAGACACTGGTCTCAGAGGCCAGTCTGCGGGTCTTTGCAGAGCTGACCTGACCTGGTCTGTTGAGGAGGGGTCCACTGAGTTGCATCCTGAAGGCTGCAGAATTGTGTGACAGATGAAGACAAGGAACTGAACTGTCAGGCACATGGACTCCCCTCCAGACACCCCTCTATTTCAGTGACTACCCTCCACAGAGAAGCTTTTGCTGTTGCACCCAGAAGGTCTATCAGCCCCATCCATAACTCATAGTCCAGGCTCTGCTCAGATCACATCTTTTTTGCCAGATTAAAGCCTGCAGCAACTTCCCATTGCTCTTGGAATGAAGCTAAACCACTTACTCGTCTGTGAATTCCTGGGTGGCCTGGCCCTGTCCACCATCCCTTCCTCAACCTCTGCTGTCCTCTCCCTCTTTCTCCCTATACAGCAGCTGCCTCCATGTCCTGATGGCTTTTACAATCAGTTTTTCCTTTGCACTTGTTTCCATGATTGGAAATCTGCCCCCAAATCTCTTTCATTTCTGAGTCTTCATTCTGAGCTTAATTCAGATAGCAGCCCCTCAGGGTGGCCTCTTCTGACCATCCAAGCCCTCATTTTTCCTCTCTAAAGACCAGGGCAGTTGGCAGCACTTTATGATGCACTTGCCACATTTAGACTGGTGACAGCCCATTTGCCAAAATGCTATTGAACCTTAGTTTCCTCACCTGCAAAATGGGAGACTTCCTAAAGTTGAGGCTCCTGCATGGGACTGGCAGAGTGGAATTGACCAGGACACGTGCCTTCTCCCTTACTCCCCTGGCTCCTCTGGGGTCAGTGGTAGCTCAGTTCAGTGTA